GTCTATCTTTTGCTTTATCCTCCACTTTACAAGTTTTCATGCGCCAAGAATTGCCAAGAACACGCCTAATCTTTTAAAAGATTGTCGTGAGTGGGAGGTATTTTTCCCCATTCTCGCTATCATCTTTGGATATCTGCTTCCTTCATTTGGTTGCATTGAGCAGGGGTTCTTGTTTCTTGCTATAAAGTAGAGAGACTGGGAGGACTTTTTGTTCGATTGTGAGTTGTTCTTGAAAATCCTCACCAAAGACTCTTACTTATGGCTGCTCCAGAGATAATTAGTATGGCTTCGAAAGACGGCCAAGATAGTACGCCCAGGCGTCACAGTCTGAGCGATGAGTCTGACTCCAACTCAGCTGCTGATGAGAAGAGACTTGTTGCGAAGCTGGACTTCTACATCATTCCTCTTGTAATGGTACTTTACCTCTTCAGTTTCCTAGACAGGTAAGTTACACAACTCACTCACTCCCTCACTCACCAAGTGTCTATGACTAATTCAAAACGTACAGAGTCAACATTGGCAATGCCCGACTTTACGGACTCGAAGAGGATCTGAACCTCTCGTCGAACCAGTTCCAAGTTGCTGTGTCCATTCTATTCGTCACATACTTGCTCTTCGAGGTTCCATCCAACCTTGTCCTTAAGCTCTTCACACCTCGTCGATGGATTGCCTTCATCGCTGCTGCATGGGGAATCATCGCCACCCTCACCGGCCTCGTCAACTCATACGGTGCTTTGATCGCTTGCCGTTTGCTTCTTGGTGCCGTTGAAGCAGGCTTGTTCCCTGGCTTGACGGTGTATCTCACTTTCTTCTACACTAAAAGAGAACTCGCTCTTCGCGTGGGTTATCTGTTCGTCAGCGCTGCAGTCGCCGGAGCTCTAGGTGGCTTGTTAGCATATGGCATTGGGCATATGGATGGCCTCCACGGTATGAGCGGTTGGCGATGGATCATGATCATTGAAGGAATTCCCAGTTTCTTGCTTGGTGTGGTTACATACTTCGCTCTGCCTAATGATGCAGAGACAGCATACTTCCTCGACGAGAACGAAAGGGCGCTTATGCGTTCGAGACACGCCCGTGAGTACGGAAACACGGCTTCCAGTCGGGAGTTCAGCAAGAAGGACATGATGTGCGCCTTTAAGGACTGGAAGGTTTGGGCGTTTTGTGTTGCACAGTTTGGCGTCGACACTATGTTGTATGGTGAGTTTCGATATTCCTCAACCCTGGCACTCAGACCACTGATTCACAAACGTAGGGTTCTCAACCTTCCTCCCGACTATTATCAGGGATCTCGGTGACTGGACGGTTGCAGAGACACAACTCCTCACCGTGCCATGCTACTTCCTTGGTGCAGCGGCGTACATGTCGACCGCATTTCTCTCAGATAAGCTTCAACAGCGTGGGCTTTTCTGTGTGATCTTTGGCGTCATCAGCGTTGTTGGATATGCAGTCCTGCTGGCTGATGTGTCTTCCGGCGTTCACTACTTTGGCTGCTTCCTGGTAGCTGGAGGCTTGTATGTTGTTGTAGGCCTGCCACTGGCTTGGGTAAGTTGATGTAGCCTTGATGGTAAATTATAGTGAGCTGACTGAGTTGTCTAGTTGCCCACAAACTCGCCGCGATACGGAAAGCGTACTACTGGTACGGGTATGCAGTTGACTTGGGGTAATGCGGCAGGCATCATGTCTGCATTCATCTAGTAAGTCCTGATATTGACTGATATCCTGGGTTCCGCTAACCTTGACAAGTCCTGCATCGGATAAGCCTCGATATATCCGCGGACATGCTGTAACGCTCAGCATGGTTGCTCTCGGCACCGTCATTTATGGTTTCATGTGGTGGTGGTACCGACGAGAGAATGAACGACGACAGGCAGGTCTAATGGATGACAAGTTTCGAGGAATGGGAGAGGATGAGTTGGCTGAGCTTGGAGATGAGAGTCCACGTTATAGATATACCATTTAGAGGGGGGCATGATATGAGGATAATGAGAATTTGGGGGCATGAGGGACGAAATCAAGATGAGGGAGGATACTATATGAAAGGGATATAGGTACATAATGAGAGCAACCGTTGATTACTGAGGGCAGCAGACTGAAATCACAGGTTGAACATGGAATACGCTTTAGGTAGAGATGACGACGGATGGTTCAGAGAAGAACATTGGGGTAACTAACACCTAACACCAAGGAAAAGTACCGGAACTAAACGACGCTAATATCCGTTATTAGTGGCTTGATGAGGAGGTGCATGGTTCCATCGTTGCTGGGGGAGTTTCACATGGTTTAGGAGAGCAATTTATTGGTCAGTTGCATTTGGTATTTATCATATATCGTCGAACCACATTTCATGTTGTTGTGTTATTATTTACCACTTGCAGCTTGCCAACCTAGGTAGGTAGGTAGTTGGTCAAAGGGATTGCCAGCATGTAAGTGTCGTTGTTGGGGCTGTGTACGTCAGCTGTTGAATGGTTGCCATGATCCATCCTTCAGGCAAAGCAAAGTGGTGTCGTGTAATAATGGGGCCAATGCGTGCATATCGAATACGAGGTCTAGGCTGTGCTGAAGAATGTCGCCTGAAATATTGTCAACAGTTGAAGACACTGAAGAACATTTGCTAGGCTGTAGGTCTTGGACTTTCAGTATCATTGTATTGAATAGCAACGAAGCGTACTCTCCCGTGTTTAAGTGCTGGTTTGCCCAACCTCCTGTATAATCAGTCAACTCTCCTATTGCTGATACTAGGGCAGACTGACTAGACTGAGCAGCACATGTCTTCAGACTCTAGTAACGTTACCGGGCAAGAGTAAATAAACAGCCCAGATACCAACAGTCTCTCCACTCATGATTGATCGATCCTCTGAGACATTCAATCCCTAAGACATCCTCAGTGGAAGAATTCAATGCAAATGTACTGTACCCCAGGATCACAGTGGACATCCATTGGCACTAGCGGACCCTTGTTTCCAAATTTAGGTGCTCAAGTAGCCAAGTCATGCTCTAGCGTCGAAAAACGGAGGCTTAACTCTTCCCATGTTCCCCTGTTTTCTTCCTGAATGTCTCCATTTCCATTTCCACTTGCTTCTACTTCTCTTTCTTCATCCTTATCTTCTAACTAATTCCTTCTTGGGTGCTATTCACTTTCGTTACTGACCAACTCAGTCCAAAGTCTCTCGCTTGTCTTCCCTGACAGTTGGAATCCGTATCACTTCTACTATTCGATCGTTGTCTTGGTGTATCCCCTATTCTTTCACTGGTCGATCGACTCAGCACTTCAGATCATACAACATTTAGTATCCCGACATCATGCGTTTCTCCAAACACGTCCTCCCCATCGCCATCCTCCTCACCGGCGTCATCGCCGCCAAGGACGAGGAGTCTACCACTGCCGTCGAAAAGGCCAAGGCTACCGACGACAAGGCTTCCGCGACTGCCGACGACTCCAAGACAGCGGACGCGACAGAAGAGGCTTCTGCAACTGCTACGGGCAAGGATGATAAGAAGGAGTCAAAGACCGACAAGTCCGATACCAAGTCTGCCACAAAGGAGAAGTCGGCTGCTTCTCAAACCACGGCTGATGGACCTACGATTACCTGGGACCCCCCTGCTCCCAAGACCACGGTCCCTGATATCAACGCTGGTTCTCCTTCGCCCATGACTCCTGGTGTTGTTGTTCTGTCGTTGGTACTCGGCATCACATCTCTCGGAATGGCCCTTCTATAAGAGTATCTGCCATTCTCCTTAGAGATCATTGCACATTTCAGATTCTGCAATGATTCTTCTCGGCAAGCATTTTCTGGTTGAACGGGTTTGGTCATTTTATTTCACATGATTGTGGCGCTATACGGAATGTCAATGGCAGCGAGGATTGACGATTTTTCTCTGGCCTGTAATTTGGTAGATGGACGCGTATGTTTGTGGCGCTCAGATAAGCCTCATTTTGTTTCGGAAAAAAAGATGGGAGATTGCGAAAGGAATGGAGAAGCATATGGGAGAAAACCCTTCTAGATCCGCACTTGGATCTGGGAGAGCATTGCATTGGAGTAATACTGTTGATATAAGTAATTGGGTCAAAATAAAAAGAACATTTCCTGGGCTTTTTTTTTTATCTGCTATCGCCGGAATGAAACCTCAGCTCGCCCCGTCCCTTATTCGTTTTAGAGCCAACCGTTGGTTAGCTTGGGGCATGGGCATGGCCTGATGCAATCATTACCTACTGTCTGCATCAACGTGATTGTAGGGCAACCTAAGGATATAACATATCCCATAGGCTGAGCCATAAGTCATGAATATCTATTCAACGCCGGGCAGTACTTACTGTCCGTATTCATTAATTTTAGGTATCATCGAGGGCCCTGGAGCCAGAGATTTGGCATTGGCATCTCATAATTCCCGATTCGAAGACACCGGTGCTCGCTAGCCAATCACGGCATCTACAATCGACGTCATAACCCACCCTATGTCCGCCCAATCACTTGACCCCTCCCCCTCATTCCTCTGAGTACAGCTCTCCAATCGCGCGGTTCCAGCGCCTGTTGTGCCTGTTCTGTAGGGGGCTTCCAGTAGGTTCATGGCGCACCGTGCCTTGAGCTGTGCTAACTCCCTGGACGTGGGAAGTCGCAATGCATGTCTTGCATTCCTCTCGCCCTGCCCAACCCAACCAACAAAACGAAGCTGAACTTGCGATAATACACTTTTTCCCGCTCCCAATTCCCCACGTCCTTTTCTGTTTCTTACAACAATCACCGATATTCCAGCGGCACCAAGTCATCACCGAAGATAGTGTCACGCGATAGACTTCATCCTATTCTCCGCCTGCCATCAACAGGCGCCTAACTTCCTGAGCGCCGTTGACGGCGAGACCCTCGATACCTGACGTCGCCTCACATCATCGCATCCACGTCCACTTCTACGACCGTCCAACTCGAAGCCCCTGTGAAAATACAGTACCCATTGCGTTTCAATCGGACATCCTCTCACTACCGAAACGACCTATTGTCATCATGGCGCAGACACAGCCCCCGACCTTCATCAACCTCCCGCCTCCCACCTCCAGACCAGAGACCCCCTCTGAGATGCCGTGTGTTCTTCCTTGCTCCTAACATTGCCCATCATTTGATATGATGCCTCTGCCTCTTGAAACTTGTTCACTGACATCGTTGTCCGTCTCAGAGGCACTCCTACGAGCACCACTACCTCGCTTTCCGCCCTATCTACCACTGCGATCAAAGATGGTCATCGCGGCCACTTCCCACAGGGTCCTCTCAGTCGTGGACACCAACATAACCCTTCCACACAAAGTCTCGAGGCTGAACGTGCCGACCGAATCTCCCGACTCGCTGGTCTTGAGCGAGTCTCAACCCTTCGGGCACCTCCTCAAGCGAACGCCCAAGGAGCATCCTCTCCCTCACCTCAGACCACGCCAACCTCTACAACTGGGTTTCCGCCCAACTACCCTGCTACACAGCACCTGACACCTGCATATTTCGATAGCAATGGCCAGCCTGTCGCTGTGACCAAGATGAGTACTGTCGGGACGGCCAGCGCAACTGAGAGCCATGTCGGCGATGGCGATGATACGCGCACAACTGCTGGCGAACACGATGAAGACATGTTCAGCACCGATACCAACTACCGTGAAGCCGAGTCGGTCGCAAGCATGGGTGGCTATCCCGACGCTATGGACGAGGATCTCGATGGTGCCAATGCTCGTTCTGTGGCTGGTTATGACGATCGCATGAGCGATGACGGCTCTGCCTCTCTTGTTGGGTTTGGCGAGGGTGCCGGTAGTACCGTATCTGGGCCCATTTATCATCGTCGAACGGCACCCCAAGCTTGGGGTCTTGAAAGAACCAATTCCGGTCTGAGCGACGCCCGGCGGGAGCGTGACACTCATATGGGCGGTGACACGCCTGTAAGTGTGTCTGCACTACAGGAGCGCCGGGACGCTCGCATGATGGACGGTGTCGCGATTGATCCGAATCCGGGCCAAGCGCCAGAGAACGACTCTTATGTTGACACAACCTTCCGAGGCCCTGTCTCTGCGTCGCAACCTCAATCACAAACTGCTGCTGCTCAGGAGGCGGCAGAGCGTATTGTCCAGAGGTTGGACAGAGGTGAGACAAGGGCGCCTGCTTCGGGTCTCGTAGGGCCTGGGCGGGGTGATGAGCCTTTGGGCAAGTTCTACTTTGAAGGCGAGAAGCGTGATGATTAGAGCGGTTATTACATCAAAAGAGAAATCCCAGCTGAGCCTTCATCTGCAAGGGTGGGGATGACTCCATGGCTGGATTGTAGCACGATACCAGGCACGACGATCTTGAGAGATATGGTCATATTTCTCAGGCTGCGCTTGTCCTCGAAAGGAGTTTCTATGTTTTAGATTATATGCGCGCACATCGCTGTCCCGCCAGTTTCGTTTACATGTTGATATTTTGTTGGGGCCTCTCATATTGAAAATGCTCAGGGCTGTTTGTAACAATGGCCTTTTATGCTGTACAAACACGTCCATTTCAGCCACTGACTTTAGTACTTGTGTACAGAGTGTTTTGTTTCTTTTGTGAATATGTCACGATGCAATCGGGGATCGATTGGACGTTGAATGGTCTTCCAACGTTGCCGAGGTCAGTTTAGATCCTGGCACGTTGCTTCATGTTATTGTGGTCAAAGCCAAAGCATGCTGTATTATCAGCATGCCCGTTGTACCTGGTCTCTAAATATGATGCCGCTATCTATTCGCCTCAAACTGTGTGATCATGCTCCGTGCACTTCATTTGGCAGATATCCTGAAACTAAGATCGCGAGAAAGAATGGCGTCGGCCATGGCTTTAAACACTTTCTGTCTCAAAAATCATCGCTCGTTCTGTAAGTGCATCTGGCTCGAGATAAATGCCAGTCCCATCAAATAGGCGAACCTAGTCTTGGGGCGGGCTAATCGCAACATTCGTCCTAGACAAATGCTATCCAAAGTGTCCAATGAAATAGTCATTGAAGGCATACTTGAGGGAAAAGGAAATCAAACTGTGAATAACACCAGACCCATGATTCCTTGCATCGTAATAACTCGGCGATGAACCGACAAGATGATGATCTAGGCTTGAATGCTGAAACATCAGGCCTCATCCTCTTCCAGCTCCCGTCTCAGATATATGCGTAAGCTGCCGTTTCGGGCGCTACTGAATTCTCGGAGACCTCGGAGCTACAGGAAGAAAAGCAACAACAATAACTGACTGATATACTGTCATAAACTTGACTCTGTAAACATTATACGCATAAATGAAAAGCTGTACCATGCGGTAACGACCTGGACAACACCAGTGTTCTGGTATATATGATGACGAAAATTTGAATATGACGAATGGTCATCTGCATGCTGTCGTATAAGTTCATGCGCATGAGAAATCAAGACGCATTCGTCGAGCAACGCCTTGCCAGTCCCATACAGACACCCAGTCGCCCTGATCCATGCATGCCCAAACCTTTTCTAGAAGTTCCATGACACGCTCGCAGTTCCGTAGGCCTGTATATCCGCGAACGGATCTTACTGCAGTGCGTATGCGTTCCTGCTGGGCTGGCTCAAAGCAAGCAGTGCCAATAACTAGACAGGGGATAAGTAGCAGAGTCTGGGAGGGATCAGAAGGCTTGAATGACTCCAAAATAGTGAGAGACTCTTCAACGGCGAGCGTAATGCGCCGGTCGTGATACGCTGGCCTTCTGGAAGGTGGGGGTGAGGATGCCCTCTCTTGGTATGTTGACGAGTCTTGTTCATGCATGGAATTCGTCCTCGAAGGGTTGCGAGATGTTGGACAGCTACTGGTCATGTGAACATCAGTAGCCCCAGTAACACCGTTACCCCTTGATACTGTGGCCATCATTGAAGCTCGTCTGGGTGGAGGAGGAGGAGGAGCGACAGTAGTTGAGGCCGAGATGGGCAAGGTGCTGAACGTCGAACGGCGCATTGAGGAGACTGAAGGTGGGTAGATCGTCCGGAAAAGATACACCCACATCATCTGCTTGTAGAGCAGTCCGACTCGGTCACGGCTGTCGCCCCATGGCCAGTTTGGTGTCCACTCGCGAATGGCCGCGTCAATCTCAGCAGCCTGATACAAGCTGGTGTAGTCCACCACTGGGTCAACACCAGCAGAAATGTTGGCTCGGATTGTGTTCCGAATAGTCGTGATCTGAGATAGATACTGGAAGAGGCCATCCCCAACACCTATTAAACGGGGAGGCTGTATCGGTGCTACAGGCTCCCAATCTTCAGACGACAGTCTAGCTGTCATGCTCTCAGGGTGCCAGAACAAGTCATCGGCAAAGATATGATACTGGAAGAACTCAGTTATGAAAGTATATAAAGCCGGGACCTCAGGGGGTGAGTGTTGAATCAGGGTCTGGTAAGCTTGGAGGTGCACTCGATGTTCACCTCGGGGGTTTCCATCGGCTCTTGTCTGGAGGAGCAAGCACAGCATTTGTCCATATCTCGCAGAGAGAATAGTCTTGTACTCAGGATCGTCCTTGTCCAATGGGCGTCCCATATCCTCGTATAGTCGCTTCATGGACTCGTCGTGGTGATAATCGGCGCGCTGTTGCAACGCCTCCCGATTGGACTGAGGATGGTCGGCCAATAACTTGGCACCATACGGTGTATCCCAGTCGATATGCTTGCTGCTGACTGCCAGGATAGAGTGCATGAGGCCTTGGTGTTCATTGGCGAGGTGAAGGATGATGTCTTTGAAGGCATTTCTGGCCTCTCCTTCAACTGTTAAGACATTGCTCAGATGGGTAATATAATGTTTCCAAAAGACCTTATCTTCGACAGTCTCGACACCATGAAAGATTGGTTGCATAGTAATAATTGGAAGGGCCTCCTGACGTAAACGCTCTAGAGCGGCAATTAGAAGGATGTGTCGGTATTTTATCAAAGGAAACGTACCCTCTTCTGCCTTTTCCTTGCCGCTCTTCCATATCTGTTTTTCGTGGTAGCCCTCGCATACCACAGCGTTCTTCTCGCAATTCATGCCTAGAAACAAATGATTAGAATCTCACATATCTCAGGTGAATGATTCAGGCCGTACATCGAGGTTTCTATGTTATATTAGCCTTCTGTCCACAGTTCAAGAATTAAAAAGTACCAGACATGGCAGGGAGGGCACTGGATGATACCCCCCCTGGTCTGTAACAGGTCCAACGCCTTCATGAAATCACTTACCGCTTCATCACATTTCTTCTTGCGCTTTCGGCAAGTGATGCAACCAGTCTTTGATCGACCCTTGGTCACTTTACTTGCGCTCACTGCCGTGGTCAGTGGGTGTTTCCTTGGCCTTCCTCGTGGTCTTTTCGGTTTCGGGTCTATCTTGGCGGAGTCCATTGGAGCTGGCGCGAGGGGGGCGGCTTTTAGATCGTCCATGTTAAGATCATCTTCGACCGGCTCCAGCTTCGGGATGGTAAGAATATCGTCCGAGCCTTGCTCCCAATTATTGTCCATTTCAACATCGTCGCGGTCGACATAGTCCGTGCTCCAAGAATCGGCACAGGATGAGGAAGCTGAATGTACCATCGTAGGGGCAGAAGAATTGTCCAATCCTGCGCTCAACGGTGAAATTTGGCCGGGCTGTAGTTGATTTGCTGTTGCTGCTGAAGACATCCACAAAGAGTCCATTGGTAAAGGTGACGGTGGCATCATGTTGTTTCGGCTTTCGAGAGATATGCTATGGTTGTCGCACCAAGCCAGGTTTTGTTTAGATTGCGAAAATGCAAATGAATTCTCGATAGCCATCTAAGAGGATGAACATGCCTCGGACAGGAGTTGGGAGAAAGATGTTTTGTGCCGACTGTCCCACAGCCGGCGGTAAAGACTTAGATAGATAACCAGGTAGCCCGATCGAATGTGGTACGGTATGTATAGGCACAGCAGTCTACTATGGAAGCTGGACGTGACGACTCAGCATGAAGCTGTGGAGACTAGAGGGTGGTGGCGGTGGACGTTAGACTGGACTAGCTATCGACGCCAACACACCAACGGTTGATCGAAGCTCCTTAGTTGCCCAGAACAGGCGACGGTTCGAAAATCGCAAGATGAAAGGGAGGGAAAGGTGAGGAGAATGGAGGGGTTACAGTATGTGGGTGGAGAGGTGTTATTTGGGAGTCAAGGTATGGAGGAGTTTTGAGATTCAGCACTGGAACCCTTCTGCAGTCTGTCGACTCCATCTCCCCACAGTTATCATAGCCTAGCAATGAGGTTGGCCTCATGGTCAAGGTGAGAGCCCACAGGGGTTTTGGTACACTTGGTACATAACCTTCAACACCCATGTGCCGTTCGGTCCCGCCAGGGATCTTTTCAGGCCGCTCGACGATGCCATCGATGGTCTCCTACAGACCCTGTCATGCCAGGGCCAGCTGCTGGGGGCTTGGTCGGCTAGTTCAGTAGCTTAGGACAACCATGATGAATGAGACGTGAAGGATACTCTTAGACTTGGCGGAGTTCTCCACCAAAGTCTTGGAGGGAATATGGACATGGCGTATTTAGATATCCACCCTCCATAGATTTAGCGTCTTCAGGACCCTGCCAGAGATACTTCAGGGTACAAACCAGGCAAAGCAGCCCAGCCTAAGTGGGACATTTCCCGTCTGGACTGGTCAGGACTCAGGTTTGGTTAAGGTGGTGCATACTATAAATGTTAGCAAATGCCTGGGATACGGGAGCAAGATCATGGCGAGGTAGAACATGCTGTGCCTAGAATTACGAGGAAGGGCCTCGATCCAGCAGACATCTCGATGAGCTTGATATCTCTTCTCAATTTCAGAAGCCAATCAATGATAACGAGCCGTGTCTATGCCCGTATTGTATGCGACAAGTGGAGTAGCGTCTATATGGTTCGACAACGTTGATCTGTCTCTGAAAGTCACACGACAAAGCATCAACCAACTTTGGAGTAGAGAAAACCCAAGTCTGCAACGGGCGACGTTGCAACGCTGCTGTAGCATGATATCACTTCAAGTCCCCTGTATTTGTAAATTCCCGTGAAGTGGTATTCATTGCTAGTGCTTTTCCACACTTTATCGCGCAACCAACCGATGCTGTGCTGAGTGATGATCATGGTAATGGTGTAGTTCGCTTGAATCAGCCCAGACAGGCTGTGTTGGCCGCTGAGGCCCCAATTGGGATTGCAAGACTATTCGGCGGTGCACCACGATCGACTTTGGGCATCAAGTGAAGAG